GGGAAGGTTGGCGATGCGTCGCGTTTCCAGGTCTGGGGTGCTCGTGCGTTTGTCCGCGATACCACGGCGGACAAGCTCTCTGGCCCGCGCCGTTCCCTGTGTCTTCCTTGGCTCTATCCTTGACGCGCCTGGTTGGCAGTTTTACCACCCCACCTCGCGCCGTGTCTTCCCCCTCTCAGGATGTCACGTTCGACGAGTCAGTTCCCTTTTACCGTCTCTTCCCCTACCGCACTGCCCCTCTGGCTAAGAGGGTACTACGCTACTTGTGCAGTACATCGGGCATGGGGCTCGTGCTTGGAGGGCGGAGCCCAGTTGTCCTCACTGGGCACTCGGACGCTTCTTGGGTTGACGACCTGGCTACGCAGAGGTTCGTCACAGGGTTACACCTTCAGCCTTGGCTCTGGCTCTGTTTTCTTGGCGGTCTACACCCTCGTCTTCTGTTCTCGGCTCTAGTTGTGAGGCTGAGATCTACGCCACAACCATGGCTGCACGGAGCTACGCTGGCTCACCTTCCTGCTGACAGACCTGGGAGAGCGGCCTCGTTCTCCTCCAGTGCTGTACGTAGACAACAAGGCCGCCATTGCCTTGTGTCAGGAGCACAGACTGGAGCACAGAACGAAGCACATCGCTCTGTGTTACTTCCTCGCTCGAGAGTTACAGCAGTGAGGTCAGCTTCATCTTGCTCACGTAGCCACTCGGGCCAACACTGCTGATATATTCACCAAGGCACTTCCGTCTGGTGATCATTAGCGGTTTTGCACTTTGTTAGGCCTTGTGCCCACTTTTCCTCACTTGCTGTAGACCTTGTTTGTACAATGATCTATATATATACATGCTTGCTTGCTTTGCTAGGTAGAGCTCACTGTGATGGTGTTGTTGCATATATACCTCTGCATGTGAACTGGCCTTGTGGCCCTTTGCTTGTACTCAGTGTGTGTGGTGACGTTGTGATCCAACCCTGAGCTTGCTTTGCTTCTCTTGACTGGTCTTGTGTCCCCTTGCTCTCCCCCACTTTGCCTATAGGGGTGTGTCAAACTATAATCATGCTTGTGCTGTGTAGGCTGTAGTGGGGTAGCCCATAAGGGGTACAACCCAAATTAGGGTTAGCATATGTACCCACATCTCTGTTCAATGCATCATTCCTGCTGCTAGATTCTAACAAAGCGAATCTTCCACTGCAAGTGGCCCAAGAGGTGAAAATCACCTTCTCGCATGAGGCATAGACACGTGACCAAACCAGTCAAGAACTGAGTGGTACACTAACATAACAACGCACCACCGTGCGCGATTCCGACCTCAACAATTACATAAACAATTTTCCTTTGAAGAGACCCCCCCCATTTTTCCCAGTGGTTTTCATAATACCCTAGGGTGTTTTATCCGGGAGAATACGGTAATGTCGTGCTGAAATTTACAGTTTCGAAAGTAACAATCGGGAATCCCGGGTTACGGGGTAGGGGGGATAGGGGAAGGGGCGGGGGGGGGGGAGTCGGGGTAGGCTGGTACTCGCTTCAGGGTAAAACTCGATAAGAGGATCGGCAACCCTGAGGCGACAGTGTGCCTTAACCGTAAAACCTGGCTCCTCAGGGAAAATCAAGGTCCAAAAAAAATTACCCTAAGGCATCACTGTTAGTACCAAAAAACCACCCTGATAATCACGGTATCGGGATCATTTACCCTGATAAAAATAGGGATTGGTCCAGCCCTTCTCCCCCTTCCCCCACCCTTGGGTCCCCTCCCCATGCCCTCGTAAAGTCTCGCAACAGCCCAGCCCCCCCTTCCTTTTTCGCGTCCCTCCACCCAACCTGATCCCTCGCAGCACCTCAATGCCACGTGCATGCCCCTCAACAGCCACACGCCTGTTAGCTAGCAAGCTGTCAGTGCCGCGCCAGGGGCGCGTGATTATGCTAGACAAGGGTGTTAGCTAAATCAGACTATGCCAAGTCTGTAAAATCAGACTAAGCTCCAACATTCGTCTGGAAAATCAGACCAGAAAAATATGCCCGTCTGATCGTCAGACGGAACGATTTTTTACTTTGGTGTTTTCAGACACGCCCAAACCTAGCAAAAGCCTTGGTTGTGGGTGAAAATCTCTCGCTACTTGGTAGGGAAAGATTCACTGCCAGCACATTCACTCAAAATGAGTCACTAGGCGCTTCTGACAGCACATGCTGACTGGACGCGCAGCCTGCAGGGTGTGAATGCGAAGGAAATTTGATTTAAAGTCATCAGCATGCTAAAGCGAGCTTCGTTATAGATATTCGACAGTTATTTTAATCTATATATTGGTGAAAACTAGAACGAGAATGAATGCACTATGAAAGAGTTGGGTACAAGTACTAACCCTAATTGGGCTGTACCCCATATGGGCTACCCCACTACAGCCTACACAAAAGCATAAGCTATAATGTTCTGACACACCCCCATAGGCAAAGTGGGGGAGTACAAGGGGTCACAAGACCAGTCAAGCAAAGCAAAGCAAAGCAAGCCCAGGGTGGATCACAAAGTCACCACACATTCCGAGCACAAGGTCAAGGCCACAAGGCCAGTTCACATGCAGGAGTACATATATATATAAAAGGCTAGACAAGCAAGAGCAGGTGTATAAATATATGTAACAGTACAAGCAAGGTCAAGAGGTGAGCAAGTGAGGCAAGGCAGGCACCAAGACCCAGCTGAGTAAAGAAGCGCTGATAATCACAAGGCGGCAAGCGCCTTGGTGAAGATAATCAGCAAGTGTTGGCCTCAGAGGCCACGTACGCAAGACGCAGCTGACCACGCTGCTGCAGCTCACGAGCAAGGAAGTAGCGGAGAGCAATGTGCTTCGTTCTGTGCTCCATGCAATGTTGGATGACAATGCAACACCATACCACGATGGATTCACCATGTCGCGCAAACCCGCAGGGCCTGAACGCTGCATCGTCGCACAGTCTAACCATGGCTGTCGATACGCATCTACGCTTGTGCGTTGGGCCTGTGCTTCATACAACTCCTTCTAAGCACCTTGTTAATGTCTGTGCAAGAATGGATGCCAATGCAATACCATACCACAACGGATTCACCATGTCGCGCAACCCGCAGGCCTGAACACTGCATCGTCGCACAGTCTAACCATGGCTGTCGATAACGCATCTACGCGTGTGCGTTGGGCCTGTGCTTCATACAACTCCTTCTTAGCACCTTGTTTAATGTCTGTGCAAGAATGGATGCCAATGCAACACCATACCACAACGGATTCACCATGTCGCGCAACCCGCAGGCCTGAACGCTGCATCGTCGCATAGTCTAACCATGGCTATCGATAACGCATCTACGCTTGTGCGTTGGGCCTGTGCTTCATACAGCTCCTTCTAAGCACCTTGTTTAATGTCTGTGCAAGAATGGATGCCAATGCACCACCATACCACAACGGATTCACCATGTCGCGCAACCCGCAGGCCTGATCGCTGACATCGTCGCACAGTCTAACCATGGCTGTCGATAATGCATCTACGCATGTGCGTTGGACCTGTGCTTCATACAACTCCTTCTAAGCACCTTGTCTAATGTCTGTGCAAGAATGGATGCCAATGCAACACCATACCACAACGGATTCACCATGTCGCGCAACCCGCAGGCCTGAACGCTGCATCGTCGCACAGTCTAACCATGGCTGTCGATAACGCATCTACGCGTGTGCGCTGGGCCTGTGCTTCATACAACTCCTTCTAAGCACCTTGTTTAATGTGTGTGCAAGAATGGATGCCAATGCAACACCATACCACAACGGATTCACCATGTCGCGCAACCCGCAGGCCTGAACGCCTGCATCGTCGCACAATCTAACCATGGCTGTCGATAACGCATCTACGCTTATGCGTTGGGCCTGTGCTTCATACAACTCCTTCTAAGCACCTTGTTTAATGTCTGTGCAAGAATGGATGCCAATCCAACACCATACCACAACGGATTCACGTTTGTTACTATTGATAATCGTGTTAGAATGTCGTCCGCTGGCCCTAAACCATTGTGGCAAAGCCTAAAAGTGCACAGTACATCTGTCACAAGTAATAATTCTGGACGGTCGTTGTGTGTGTGACGTAAGAATCACCGATTAACTTACCCCAACCCCGTGGTAAACCATTTGCAACTTAGAGTTTGATGAAATGCATTGTTGTATGTTTGAATGAAATTTAGTGATTTATGCGTTGGCAACAGTGATTGGCCGACGCATCTCAAACGATTCCCCCGCAACACAGTCATCACCCAAGAGGTACTTCAGCCATTGAGCAGCTGAGATCGAGCGGTAGGTGGGTTTATGCTAGGGTGGCTACACGTACACCGTCCAATATAGCCTGATAGGGTTACATTACTCTCTCTAGTCTCGCAACCCACCCCAACCACCCTCGTGTCCCACCCACCTGCTTCCGTTACTCCCTGGACCAACACTTTGACGCTGCTCGTTGCCTTGACACACTTTAGCGCGAAGCATAGTGGCTGCTATGACAGATTTAGTTGAAGCGGCGGTTTTCGAAACCCCTTACAGTGATAGACCGTCGATAATCCCATCGTGGGATTCAGTTGCAGAACCCTTTCGAAACCGGCTCAACCCTTCCGCGCGATTTGCAACATTGCTCCTCCTACAATTACCATGACACATGCAACACGTAACCAAGCAATGGAGGAGGAACAGGCCGGCCGCCGCGCGACAAGGAGGACGTCTAAACAAATCGATAGGGAGTGTGGTGGCAGCGCTAAAAAAAACTAATGCGTCCGTCGCTCGTGGCATTGGGAAGAAGAAAGCGGCGGCAAAAAAGGTCGCGCGCGGTCAACAGGAGGCCGTCAAGAAAGCGGAAGACAATGGCCCAAAACCAACGCCACACAAGCGTGTTTCTACAGTGAACAAAGATGTGGATGTTGCCTCTGCTGGAACCGAGCACGGTCCGAGTAAAGACGGCACCACTGGCGGCAACGAAGATCCGGGGCGAGGGAGCGCGAGTCTTGCACTCCCGTCGGCGGAGATGGAGGGATCGGCGACGGAGGGAAATCACGGAGGCAATCCCCGCGCCGAGCATGCCGCAACCAAGGAGTCCGAGGCGGCGGCAATGCAACACCATCTGACGCTGCTCCAGCCGACCGTGGTCGAAGTTTCTGCAGCCGTGCTGGATAAGGACAAGGTGGGGGAGCACGAGTCAGTGGGGCTGGTCGGTGGCTCTCCACCTTCTGGTGGACGGGGGAGGCGTAGGCAGAGGAAGAGCGATGGGGAGGACGATTATGACACCGCCGTGCCCGGGGACCTCATTACGCGGGTGAAGAGGCGGCAGACGACAGGTAGTGCTGACGACGCCGGAGGCGCGGCAGCTGGGACACCGCGAGGCGCCAAGGAAGCTAGTGGCAAGGCGGGCGGTCAAGCATTGCGCCAGAAGGGCCGACCCGCAGCAAGAAAAGCATCCGGCGGAAGGAGAGGCAAGAAAGCAGCGACGGGAACAAAGCCGAAACGGGGCGATGAAGACCCCGGTGATGCGGAGGAGGAGGATGAGGAGGAGGATGCGGAGGGAGAGGAGGATGAAGAGGAAGCGGAGGAGGATGACGCGGATGTTGGGGAGGAGATGAGGCATTCAGAGGAGCTGCAGCGGCAGATTAACAGGTTGCAGGCACAGCTGAGGGCAACAGGGCTGAAGGGGGAGGCGGAGGCAGGAATGTACGCGGGAGAAGGGGGGGGAGAGGAGGTGGAGCAGGACGTGCAGTGTGCTCTCATGGCATGGAGGGGGAGAGAGGAGATGGGGCTGAGAAGCGGGGGAAGAGATGGCAGGCGAGAGCAAGGAAGGAAGGAGCAGGTGAAGGGAGAAGCGCCATCCGAGCCGGCCCAAGAGCCAGCCCCCGCACGCCACCCCCAAGAGATGCTGGCATGCCAGACCTCGGTGCTACTGCTTGAAAAGGGAGCCATGGAAGTGGAGGGAGTGAAAGTAACGACAGCCATCATAGATACGGGGGCACAGAGCGTGATGTTGGGCAGAGGGATGGCTGAGAGGCTGGGACTGCTGGCTCCAGAGAGGCACGTGGCCAAGGGGATGTTGGTGATGACAGCGGAAGGGGGGGAGCCGAAATGGATGCCACGCACACGGACGCCCATAGAAGTGACGCTGCTACGGGGGGGACACATGAAACCAAAATCCGCATGAAGTGTGGGATTTCCGAGTCAGAGGACTTCGATGTGCTGGTGGGCACCGAGCTGGTGTATGCGGTAGGAATGACCATCTGCACTTGGATGGAGAGGGTGGATGGAGTTTAGGACCAGATACTAGAAAAGGGAGGGGGCGCTAGGAGAACTGCCAGTGCGATTCGTGAAGGTGGAGCCGAAGAGAGCATACCAGGCCATGGGGGAGCGGCTGCCAGGAGGAGCAGGGGAGGGCTGCCGGGGAGGGGGAGCGCGCCTAGAATGAAGAGGATGGACAAGCCGCAGCAGCAGAGTGATTGGCAACAGCCATCCACCTGGTGGAGTTATTTGGGTGGGGGATAGGGGCAGGGCTGTCAGCAGTGGTGAGGAATGGGATAGCAGTGAAGAGATGGAATATGTGGAGAAGGAACCCAGGGGTAAGGAGGATGGCGGAGCACCATGCCAAGAAGCTGCAAGCGGAATTCCCGGACCTGCTGAGTGAGAGGTGATCAGCAAGGCGATGGGGGGGGACGATTCACGAT